AGACAAAAATATATAATGCATCCTTGTCAGTGTAATACATCCTTGATTAATAAATGTATTAATTAAAAAAAGAATATTACTGGCACCAAACGTTTGAATGGTAGTATAAATACACAATATACATGATTTATAGCAAGTATAAAAATATGTATACAATGTATATTGCATATATAATATACTATATTTTGGTCTGTAATAGTGTGCCAGGTGCAATTTTAATGTGCAAGACAGATAGAATCTAGAATCAATTTAAAGTGTAAAATAAGATGTGAGGGAGTATGCTTGTATGGATGGTACTGCAGATATTACTGGAACTGGGGGTGTCTAAAACAGAAGGAGCGAGCACTTATTATGTCTTCAGTATAGGTCAGATCTAGAGGCAGTGGTGGGAGTACATTAGCATACACGCTGGCAGAACGTTTAAGGTGACGAATAAGATAAACTCAGAGGGCTGTGCTACCTGGCTCAGAGCTATTATCAGACCCCCTCAGGCTTGATTTATCAACTCCCCTCTCACAGTGTTTCTGCTCTGATATGACTGTGGAAATGGACTTGTTTAAACACAAACCCTTGATCCTGTTGACCTCTTAATATGCTTATAATGATGCCATTTAACAAACAGATGTTAGGGCAGACATGGCAAAGCCAGGCCACAACATGTGGTGCTGGCAGTAGACAGTGAGGGCGTTTGTCAGTTAGTGCACAGCATAACAACACATTCTTGTAAATATTATCATTGTAAATATTACTATTTTGTATAAATCTTGTACAAATTCAGATGAAGCTAGTTTAGAACTGACTTGTTTGAGATTCAGTGTGTTGTCTTGAAGAGACTTGAGTATTATAGAACAGTAAATGTATATAAAAAAAGTAAGTCCCTAAAAACCTCCTGACTGCTGTTTGTAAATCACTTTCAGAATGTATGCTATACCATAAAAAATATGGGGTCGGCAAGATTTTATACTCTTTTATGGCCGGTAAGAGCTTATGCTCACTAAGTCTGCTGACTGAAAAAATGGATCAAAATGTTCTATTTTAATATATTTTAAAATGTAATTTATTCCTGTTCCAGTCTTCAGTGTCTCATGATATCATTGTAATTTCTGTTTTTTATTTTGCTCAGGAAACATTTCCTAATGTCCGTGTTAAAAAAAGTTGTGCTGCTTTATAATTTTTTTGTGGAGAAACACTTTTAAGGATTATTTGAATATTTTTTGCAACATTATGAATGCCTTTACTGTTTATACTGTAATTTTACATCAAATTAATTAATCCCTGATGAATGGAAGTATTACTTTGCTCTTCCAAAAAAAAAAAAAATTTAATGGCAGTGTAATTTGATCTTTACTTAATTTGACATCAATTTGATTGAAGTTTAAAAGAAAAGAAAAAAATCTAAGTATACCATTATTGTAGATAGGGTGACTTAAGGGTAATTGAGGTGTAAAATTTGTACATAAAATGCAGCTAGAAAGTAACTATAGACACAATAGAACACAAAATATAAAAATAATAGAATAAAATATACTCCAGAATGTGCAATATAATTATTTAGAAAATACTTATTTGCACAAAAACTGAAAATGTTGTCCAACATTATATGGCAACTATATTTCTCTTTATGCAAAGTGAGATATAGTTGGGACCCAATGCAGACCCCTCTACGGTGATAGATGAGCAAAATAAACAGGTAATTAAATATTAACAAGCCAATTTATTATGCATGTGCATCACTACTTTATGGAAGCAATGAGGATCTAATTTACATATTACTCACACTTTAGCCATTCCAATCAGAGTGGACACATTCCAGATGCAGTGGATCAGGTGAGTGAGAGTTGTGATGGTCAATATTGAATGTAGTGCTGATCTTTTACAAGCTGAGGAACAAACATGTGAAGTTTCAGAAGTCTGATCAAAACTTCTAAATTTACAGCAGGTAACAACTCCTTGATGCTTGATTTGTACTTTTGTTCAAAATACTGTCTGAAGAACTTGTGTTGTTTTTCTACCAAAATTAATTTAATTTTACAAACAATCATATCAAAAATTGTTTGTTTTTGTGGGAAAAACAAGAAATTATCATTACCAATTTTGCTGTAATGGAAACTTTCCCAGCTTGTATTTTATTCCTGTTCTTGCGGCAGCTCATGGGTAGTCAAACTGCTCTGTTTCAGCTAAGCAGCTTGTCCATGGAGAGGAAGAGAGAGAATACCGTTTGGGCTGATAAAATGTTTTTTTTTATTACCAGACACTGGATTCCAGCCCTCTCTCACTCTGTCGTATGCTATTCCTTGTGGCTATAGGTCCAGTTTGATTTCTAATAATTGTGTTTGCTGATGTGGCATGTTTTTTTTGGCATGTTCATGTTTTTTTTTAAATTCTGTACCAGACATTAACAGAAGGTTCACAGAGGGACGACAAACTTCAATTACATCTCTCTTCTAATCAGCGCTTTGCAGCTAGATACATTGATTCTGGTACTCCATTTCTGTCTACAATTCAGCCTCTACGTCTGCAACAATGAGACTCAGCCATTACTTATTGTGCTGTGTGACACACAATCAATGTCATGCAGAGCAGCTGATGAGTCATTCAGAAAGACCTCGGAGCATGAAGGGTTAACCACTGGCTAGGTTTGATTGTGTGTTTATGAGCCGCTTGTGTATTCAGCTGTTTGCACAAACAGTACATTTTAGAGCTATCAAAACTATAAATCCCTAGATGGCAATTGTAATGCGAGTAATATAATCTGATCATTAAACAGAGAGCTCTTAGTAAGTTTTTACAAACATACAGGGGGTTAAAACCTGACTCTTTCAATTGTAGTTTGAGACGAGAATGGTCTTCATTCAATTGAACTCAACCCCATTGCGTATTTAAGCGTTTTGCTTTTGTCCTCTTACAAAGTGAGCAAAGAAAACATTTAAGGTGGCATTCTTCCATCTTGACAGGGCAGCTTTAGCACTGATAATAGGCCATGCCATTGGTAGGCTGGAAACTGTTGTTTTAAAGTTTGATGTGAGACCTGATCCTGTTTTGGAAGGCTGCGATCATTGTGGATTTCAGCTCGCCATGGGTTAGACTTAGCTTTCATAGCTGTTTATCATTACATGATGCTCTAAATCCTGCCTGTGGCCTATAGGCGTATCAAAGCTGCATTAGCTGGACTCTGAGGTCGAAAGAAACAAAACTCTACTTCGCTGAAGGATCAATGTCTGTTGAGGCTTTCGCAATCAGGCTGTGACCATGATTGAGCGAATAAGTCATTCCTAAGATAAGGCTGTAATCAACAGCGCACTAAATGTTCTTTATTGTACATTCAATTACACGCTAATGAGTTGTGCAAAAGTGAAAATCTTTAAATACTAATGCTATTTAAATGGGTTACAACTAAAGAAGCAAAGAAGTAAATAATAGAGGTGAAATATGAAAGAGATGAAGTAAATAATAAATAGGTAAAGTAGGAAATTATCTACAGCAATAAAGACCATGTGACTATATTACCCTGCTTATAGCAAATAAAGAGAGCGGAGTTCTTTTGAAATAGAATCAGCAAAAGTGCTAGATGACTTAAAAATAGTGAATATTTATGCAGTGTAAAATAATAAATAAAATATATGAAATTGTTAGGTAATTGCAATTACCTAAATATATATAAAATAAAATATCACATATAATATACATGTATGAAACAAGTATTAAAATGAATTCGGCAAAATTTACTGCTTATCAGCTGCAAGATCAGTTTTTAATATTGAGTATTTATAAATATTTAAAATATAAATATAAATAAATCATAAATATAGAAAATAACAAATAATGTAAAATATAATTTGTTTTTCATATATATGCGTGTATGTATACACACACATACAGTATATATAATATCATGTGAAGTCTTGAACAGTGAATGTACAAGTCTTTACAATCTCTTTATTAATGGTATAATTAAATAAATTATTATTGGATTAATTAAAGACAAAAAAATAATTGCACAAAAAGGTTGCCATGACATTAATAATATCATAGGTTTATAAATGCCAGACTCCATTTCAGCCTATTATGCAGAGTAATTAATAGGCAGCCGTTACTGGCAGATTGCTTTTACGTCAGGCTGAAATGAGAAAACTCAGTGATTGGTCTGCGCTTGGCAGCCATTACAACGGATGAACTGATACAGAGGGTGACTGGTGTTTCAAAAAGATTACCTGAGCAGGGTGCCCGATTCATTTAGCATCTTTTCTTTTCCTCCCAACATGCAAGTGACTCGGAGAGAAAGAGAATGTGTTTTTTGACATAAGATTGCTTTTATGTACTCCATGGGACTTTTTTCTGAAAGACCTTCATCGAGCATAATATTGATTCTCTGTGTAATATACTGAAAAAATTAATTGGGCTGCTTTTTAAGAGTTTTGTTCCACTTTATTCTCCGCAGTATTGCAACACAGTGATGGAGCAACGCATCAATGGACTGTTATCTGAGCCTTTACAGATATTTCCACGAGGTGTGTATAGTGTGTGTTAGTCTGCTGGTCCAAATTACAGTTCAACACCGCAACAGTAAACGTGCCCGAGGGCCACCTAGACCCTAGATCACAGTTCAAATCCCCATACTCAGCAATACCCTGCTCACATGTGTGAGTGAGCATTTTCTGTTAGCAAAATCCCACTTTATGTCATCCTCAATGGCTTCTGAGAGACGAATAAATATCAGTTTGGTTTATTGAAGCAATTTCTTTCTGAATACATATCTTTAATGACAAATAAAGGACGTGATGTTGATTCATTAATTTTATTTTTTTTTTTAACCCAAGGTTGTTCCCAGAGTTATATTTAATTTTGACTGATAGATGAAGTGACCCCTTTCCTCAAGCCTCTCTCTTTATTTCCCTCTGTCTCCCCCACAAAAGCCAATTAACCTTGCGGCCAAACCAGGCAGTTTGCTGTTAAATCACAGGTTAATTAGCACAGGGCTCTGACTGTCTTTGTTTGGCCGCAGGTGAACACGCGGCCCGAATCCTCGAGTGGCAGGGGCTCCTCTGCGGCTGATTCCCGGTCCAATGATAGGTGAGTGATCCCAGATCATGCCTGCCCTCATTGAGAGAAAAATCTTATTGCCAAGATTTATTTTGTTTATAAATACAGATATATTTACAGTAAAGCAACTGCATTAATGATTTAGTAGAAATATATTTTATGAAAACAATAGTTGACTATAAATTCTATTAAACGTACACTCAAATACAATTCTATATTAATGCCTCAAGTTTGCTACATTGCTTGGTAAACAATTAACAGTTCTGAACTATATAACTAAGCAGGGAAATCTGATATTAGCATAATTTTTTTTAACTTTTATAGTAAAAATAAATGTTTCTTGCGCATCAAATCAGCATATTAGAATGTTTTCTGATGGATAATGTAACGCTCAAGACTGGAGTAATGGCTGCTAAAAATTAAGCTTTGCCATCACATAAATACATATGTATATTAAAATAAAAAAGTCATTTTTATTTGTACTAATATTTAACATTACTACCGTTTTTACTATATTTTCAATCAAAAAAATGCATGCTTGGTGAGCATGAGAGACACATCTTCTTATGCATCAAAGCACCATCAAAAAACTCTTACTGACCCCAAACTTTTGAACTTTAGTGTATGTTACCAATGTAATTCCTGTTTCTTTATCGATAATTTTGTCCCATTATGGTGCCTTTGTGCTTTGGAAATAAGTCTTGATATAAGTAGAAAAGCGGTAACACTTTAGAATAGGAAACACTTAGTCACTATTAACTACGACTTTTCCCTCAATACATTCCTAATTTGCTGCTTATTAATAGTTAGTAAGGTAGTTGTTAAGTTTCTGTATTGGATAGGATTAGGAATGTAGAATAAGGTCATGTAGAATAAGGCATTAATATGTGCTTAATTAGTACTAATAAATGGCTAATATTCTAGTAATATGCATGCTAATAAGCAACTAGTTAAGAGACCCTAAATTAAAGTGCTACCAGAAAAGCTTTAAAAAGTAATTAAAGGAATAATATATTTTTTTTCAGGAAAATAAAATATTAATCAATAGGGCCTTGTTGTGAACAGTTGCAGTTTAGCTTTTAAATTTTTTTAAGCTGAGTTAAAGGTGGTATTGATTAATTTCGTTATAAGGGTCTCAATAGTGTAATTCTCTTTACAAGAGAAGGAGAAATGCTATCAGGAGTTTGCAGTCTTCATACCCTAAACATACAGCAGAAACATTTTTTTCAACGTTAACTGGATTTTGTTGTTCGAGAATTAAATCCCCTGGCACAGAAAAAAGACCTGCATTCTGAAGGCCAGCATGTGTATTCAGCAGTGATGTAGAGAAGGGAAGTGCAGCAGATCATTCTAGACAAATGAGTCTCGTCTTAACATTTCTAATGTGAAGTAACTTCTCTGTCTAAAAAATTTACTCATCATGTCAGATTTTTGAGGCATCTTGTATAAAATGTTATACTTTGTCTTTTCGCTTAAGCACTTTAAAGAAATCTTCAGCTGAGCTTAAGAAGATTTTGACAAATGGACAGGTATAGTAGCCCTCCCTTCACATCACACACACTTTTACTTCGGCATACATTTTGATACACACATATACTGCACAGTATTCCCACTTCAATCGAATCTGATTATCTTGTTAGTGATGCTGTTACCACTCAACCAGTGATGCTTGCTATCACTTATCCCATTTAATTTGTCACCATAGCCTGTGTGTGAATGTGATAAGGCATCTATTGATTGCTCCTAACGGGCTGTTCACTGACCCTTTCTCTGTGGTATGGTTGAGATCTTTATCTTGAGTGATCAGAGCTGTATCTGTGTGTCCTTCTGCCCACCCCTTCCTGCTTTCCCTGTCACCTTGTCTCCCCCTCCACAGGCCCCCAGCATGCCAGTCTGTCAACTAAAGTGTCAGATAGACAATTAATACAGTCACATCCCCTGTGACACCTGTAACATGTGCAGTTAATGGAGCACTAGTATCCTCCCTCACGCACACACACACACACACACGCACACACACATACATACACTTCAGCCTAATCAAATGTCCTGCACTGGGCCCCTGTAGTCAGGGTGCGGCCCGTCGACAGAGCATTGACTTCACATCAGGTCTGGTTCACAAGGGGAATCACTTCCCCTACAACAACACGCACAAATACTGACACCTAACTAGACACATTAGCCATCACAAACAAATTACTTTTTGTTGAATGGATTGTTAAGGCTACAAGGCATATAGTTCTTGATATATGGAAATAATAATATATGACTTTGGTAGAAGATTTCATTTTAATTATAATAATAATAATAACAGCATTATTATTATAACATTTTTATAATTTATTTATATAAATATTTATTGACAAAATGTTATATCATGGTTTTAATATGATTCAAAAAGATCTGATTCAAAAGAAAAAAAGTTGTTCTGAACTCTGTTTAAGTGGAAGTTAATGATCAAGTGGGAATTAATTTGTTACCTGAATGTATCAGTTCAAAGCTGGATCTGAAAATAGTCCTCCGCGGTTGAAATTAGCAACTGCATTTATAGGTCTGGTCAGAAGATTACCAGAGTGATCTTCACAGCGTTTTTTCTGCTTTGTCAGGCTCAGAGATACTCTGGCCCTATGGAATCTGCTTCTGGTTGTTACATACCCCTTAAGTTATGAAAATCGTTAAACCATTTTGAGAGGTTTGTTGCAATTTATGAAGGTAAAATAGTAGCAAAACTTGAGAGCCTGTTGATTTGAATGTGAGAAATTGTCATATTAATATTTGTATATATAAGTTGAAATTTACTAGGGCTGAGTTTTGACACAAATTTCGCGATTCAAATCGATTCTCATTCACAAGCTTGCGATTCGATTACCAATTCGATTCGATTAGATTCACTTCAATGTCGATTATTTTGGCTATATATCAGGTACAGTACATGCCAAATTTTCTCAAGGAAAATAAATCTCTCAACTAATGCTGTCAAATATATATGAGTCAGTTGGTACTACATTACTTTAATATTGAAGGCTAAAATTAACTGATTTGTTAAAATTTCACTTAATGAAGTTTTTAAAATAATAAAGTTACAATTACATAATATTTCTACTTCAATTTGTTTGTTTTTTTAGATATAAACATAATGGTGGCTGTCATAAAATCTTGATGGATTTATTCAAACATAAATTATAATGAATATGTTATATATTTAGCAAAATGCCCCTCTCTACAGTTTATTTTTCTATATGGTTAATGAGTTTATGGTCACTGAATATGTTTTTTCTGAGGTAAATGTGACGTTACGTGACATTGTTTACAAGCCTTTATATTGACGTCTTTGTGTGGCTGAAACACTGATTGAGAGATTACATGAGACAGGATACAGATTGTAAAGTTGTACTCTTTCTTTTAACTTACCTTCGGATGTTTAGTCATGTTTATTTTGTGCTGAAACTGGTATTAATGTAGAGGAGATGATTAGTTCACATGCGCCTCGCGCTGCTGCGTCTGTTTATCTGAGGTGCTACAGCGATCTGTCACTCCACATTAAACAGCGCCAAAATGGCATTTATTGTTTGAATAGACAGAATTTGAAAGAGACTTTGTTTCATATTAAAAGTACCAAAGCACAATGCTTATTGCGATTTATTGGATGGGAGATGCCCTTCAATGTTCCGTCCCTTAACTGACAACAGGCTAGACTAATCGATTGTTGGGATTTAAGAATCGATATCGTTCCGTAAAAAAGAGAATTGATTAATATCGAGATACCTATATTTTTTTACTCAGCCCTAAAATTTACACTCACGGCTCTGATGTGAAAAGCTTAAGCTTTCGATTTGCACACACAGACAATAATCAAAAACCTGTGTTTTGAATTCAAAGTTGCAGATTAATAGTAAAAAATGTGTAAAATGACATTCACATAAACAAGCTGTCATAAAATCTTGATGGATTTATTCAAACATAAATTATAATGAATATGTTATATATTTAGCAAAATGCCCCTCTCTACAGTTTATTTTTCTATATGGTTAATGAGTTTATGGTCACTGAATATGTTTTTTCTGAGGTAAATGTGACGTTACGTGACATTGTTTACAAGCCTTTATATTGACGTCTTTGTGTGGCTGAAACACTGATTGAGAGATTACATGAGACAGGATACAGATTGTAAAGTTGTACTCTTTCTTTTAACTTACCTTCGGATGTTTAGTCATGTTTATTTTGTGCTGAAACTGGTATTAATGTGGAGGAGATGCATTAGTTCACATGCGCCTCGCGCTGCTGCGTCTGTTTATCTGAGGTGCTACAGCGATCTGTCACTCCACATTAAACAGCGCCAAAATGGCATTTATTGTTTGAATAGACAGAATTTGAAAGAGACTTTGTTTCATATTAAAAGTACCAAAGCACAATGCTTATTGCGATTTATTGGATGGGAGATGCCCTTCAATGTTCCGTCCCTTAACTGACAACAGGCTAGACTAATCGATTGTTGGGATTTAAGAATCGATATCGTTCCGTAAAAAAGAGAATTGATTAATATCGAGATACCTATATTTTTTTACTCAGCCCTAAAATTTACACTCACGGCTCTGATGTGAAAAGCTTAAGCTTTCGATTTGCACACACAGACAATAATCAAAAACCTGTGTTTTGAATTCAAAGTTGCAGATTAATAGTAAAAAATGTGTAAAATGACATTCACATAAACAAAATGACAGACACAAAAGTGTACAGCTTATTTAAATTTGTACTTTACTTCAGTTTCGCTGTACAACCACAAGTCAGCACTTACAACCTCTCAGATCTGGCAGTACAACTTCAAATCTTAGCGCTTTGACTTTTGCTACTCCTTTCGCGGTATTCCTGTAGCAAAACTCACTTGTGCACTTGTACATGTACAAACCCGATTCCAAAAAAGTTGGGACACTGTACAAATTGTGAATAAAAACAGAATGCAATGATGTGGAAGTTTCAAATTTCAATATTTTATTCAGAATACAACAGATGACATATCAAATGTTTAAACTGAGAAAATGTATCATTTTAAGGGAAAAATAAGTTGATTTTAAATTTCATGGCATCAACACGTCTCAAAAAAGTTGGGACAAGGCCATGTTTACCACTGTGTGGCATCCCCTCTTCTTTTTATAACAGTCTGCAAACGTCTGGGGACGGAGGAGACAAGAGAGTAGAACCGGGGATGGGGCTGGAATGGGGGCCAACTTGTTGTTGTACAGCAAAACTGAAATAAAGTGTAAATGTAAATATGCTGTACACTTTTGTGTCTGTCATTCTGTTTATGTGAATGTCATTTTACACATTTGTAACTATTAATCTGCAACTCCGAATTCAAAACACTGGTGTTTTGATTATTGTCTGTGTGTGCAAATCGAAAGATTCAGCTTTTCACATCAGAGCCGTGAGTATACTGTAAATTTCAACTTACAAATATGAATATTAATATGACAAGTTCTCACATTCAAATCAACAAGCTCTGGAGTTTTGCTACTCTTTTACCTTCATACAATTGGCCACTGACATTTAGTCTTACTTAAAGGTCTAAGGGTTAAGATCCTACAGCATGCATTTTATTTTTATATTCAAAGCAAGAGGTTGAAATAAAGATGGAGGGCATTCGGATGTGTGTAAAACTGACTGAATGTGAAAACGTTACCGGTCCCTCTGGCCTCTTTGTGTCAGAATGGTCTGTATTGTATTACCATTTTGACAGCTTTTATCAAAGTCGAATAAGACAGCACAGACAAACAAATAGTCATTAAAATTACCATCACTCTCCTTGCTGCTGTTGTCCTTTTATAAATCAGACAGCAAATGTTGTATTGATCCTCCTTTTTTTTGTCCACAAATGACCATACACTGGAATTTCAGTAGGTTTTTTTTCCCCACTTGGTGTTGCTGTTAAAATTGTGGTGTCTCTTTTGTCTCTGCCTCGCTGTTTTCCTTAGTTTCATGCTCTTAATTCATCAGCTCACTTCAGTTTATATTACCATTTTACACATTTACTGAGCAAAAGAAAAAAAATAGAAACTGCTGTTTTCATAGAGACATGTCTATGAATGCATGCATACACACATCCCCCTTTTAGATTATTTAGATTCTGTTCTCTTTGGATAACTGCAGAGTCTTTCTCTGTTTTTTCTCTGTTTGTTTAGATAAATGAACATGACCTCCAGTACCAGGAGCAGCTTGGCCATGGAAATGGTGGGACAGTTTACAAGTGAGTTAGTCTCTCGTGGTTTTTACCTTGATATTTAATTAGACCGATTGTAGTCAGCCTCTTGAAAGGCCTTCTTTACCCATAGTGCAATCTATAGGTTTTAACTAGAACCGGCAAATTGAATCATGAAAATGTAACTGAAAAGGGAAAAAGTGTTTTGTTGTTCGCACTCATGTTCTGATTAATTTTACATTGGTCTCACTTGTGCTCATGTTTTCAGACATCCTTCAACAGCCCCCCAATATTATGACTCATTAAATGTCTTGAGAAATGCGAATTTAAGGATGTTGCTGATTTAGTGCTTGTGAAGTTGAAGTGACTCTTTTTGATCCTTCTAAAGCTCCTTTCTGTGCCAAAGCTATATACCACAGACTATACAGTTGCAGGACAGGGCAAGGTCATCATCTTGCACACACAAATAATTTTGTTCATTTCTTGAACCAAGTGACTGTTGGCAAGGCTCTGTGTGCTTTTGTGGATAACACAGACGCTCATCATTTGCTTCTCTTACTGGAGGAGCACCTCTGGGTTGTTGGAAATTGTTCAACCATTTTAAAAAAGCCAATACTGCAACCCAGACAAGAATGCAGTCTGGCATGCTCAGCACTAAATGTGTTTGCCTAGAATTATATTTTTTCCCCTCAAACAAAAGAAACTGCTGAATTTTGCATTCATCTCTTAATTCAGACCTTTTCCCCTGTGTTTTCCTTCTTTAAAGTGTTGGATAAAGAAATACAGTTCTGAACCTAGGCAGTCTGTTTGGAACAAGCACTAAAAACCAATGCAAAATTTTAATACCAGGAATGTTTGTTTTTATTTTATTTCTATTTTGTTCACCACATATTCATGATCTTTAAAGAATGGTAACATTCACTGTTACTGTGTTTCTTGCTCAGTGTAGGTAGCGGCAGGTGAAATGTAATGTAATATAATCTCTGATGTTGCTCGTAGTGAAATTTAGGCCAGTCTCCCATCCATCTCCACAGCTGTCCTCGATCACCTCTACTGTGCTCGCTCACATACATGCACTCTCCTTTATGCAAAACACACACCTTTGTGCCCATCAGACGGCATACAGGATGGCGCCAAGGGTATTCGCTTAAATTGCTTTTCTTAGGAATAAATACTTTTTTTTTTTTCTCTAAGGCTTTCACCTAACCTGCACCCCTTGATGTTGTGTTGCTGTTTATAAGCATGTTTCTTGCTCGCATATCTGAGAAAAGATGAAGTAAATACACTAAAAATGTTAACAAATATATGCATAGATACAATAATATACAGAATGATTGATGTAGACAAATGTCACTTTCTAAATTTCTTTCTAAAAATTTTTTTTGAATTATTTACCTTTTGCATATACCCCCCCACAATTTGTGATCCAATTAGAACTAACCTGCGACCCGTTTTTGGATCACGATCCGCCAGGTGAGAACCACTGGATTTCTTTCAGGTGAGGTGATCATCTGGTCATCTCAGGTTAGATGGCATAGGGAAAGAGACGGAGAGAACTGTCTGGTCCGCATTGGCCACTGTAATCGAAACCTGTTTGTGTGGTTTCATGCGTGTGTGTTCGTCTGCAAACACGCATGCATGGGATAGCTGTCTTCGAGAGGTCCATGAATACTGCATGACAGAGCATTCATTACCTCGGGCTCTGGAGTGTAAATAACAAACCGAATAGAGACACATTTACGGGGGTCAGGACCACACGTCACTACGTCACCTCGTCCTGACCACGCGTCTGTCAGTCTTTGGTCATCGCTGCATGACTACTCGGCAGGGTCAAAGTTCAAGGACTTTAGCTGAACTTTGCAAATGGGCTTACTAGGCTACATTACTGTTCAGAATGTCCTGAAGCGACCATTTAGACAACAACATTGGTTGAGTTGGCATTAGTAAGTAGTAAGTAGTCATTTAGCAGATGCTTTTATATAAAGCAACGTATAGTGTACATATTACACAGACAATCCCTATGGAGAGACGTGGGGTTAAATGGCTTGCTTAAGGGCACAATGGTAATGCTTATGACTTGCTACATGCACAAAGTGAAACTAGCAACCTTCCGCTATTCAGCCCTGAGCTATATACAGTGGGGAAAAAAAGTATTTAGTCAGCCACCAATTGTGCAAGTTCTCCCACTTAAAAAGATGAGAGAGGCCTGTAATTTTCATCATAGGTATACCTCAACTATGAGAGACAAAATGAGAAAAAAAATCCAGAAAATCACATTGTAGGATTTTTAAAGAATTTATTTGCAAATTATGGTGGAAAACAAGTATTTGGTCAATAACAAAATTTCATCTCAATACTTTGTTATAATATACCCTTTGTTGGCAATGACAGACGTCAAACGTTTTCTGTAAGTCTTCACAAGGTTGTCACACACTGTTGCTGGTATTTTGGCCCATTCCTCAAGAGCAGTAATGTTTTGGGGCTGTCCACTGCCAACTATGCCGTGCCACCTTCAACAGATATTGATATCAGTTGACTTTGACTCTTCAGTTGTGTTTCTTGGCTTCAGAAAGGACTTGAACCTTTTGAGATGTACTTTTCAGTGCATATTAATTTAATACTTTGTTACCAATAAGCAAAGCAAGCATCTACGTGTCTTATATGGATCAGAATCTTCTGAAGTGTAAAGTGCACACTGAGAGGACACTAAGGTGAGATGGGATCGAGTGTCGTTGTCCTAAATGAGGGAAGTTAGCCATCGCGTCACTTAGAGCGACATTAATTAAAGGCTTGCCGGAGTTGAGGTGTCTGGGGCTGTAACCAGATCAGCCATCTATTTCTCATAAATCACATGCACTGTCTCAAACACTGTTACGAATTTGTTTACTGCAGACGTATACACAGCTACATACAGAGAATCATAATCAAATCAGTCTTTTTCTTATTCTGTCCTTTCTCATTTACACAAACACATACTGTGCTCCTGTGTTGTTGAATCCACCCTCGTTTGGCAGCTGTCTGTTGTTATAGTATATTATCTGGTGGAATGGACCGTGTCGTGGGTTATTGTAACCCAACCCCTCTTCAGCACCTACTGCAGTAACCAGATCCACTGCTCGGAATGAGCAAGGATCATAATTAAATAATTGCGGCTTTGCCGTTAATTCGACCTGTAACAGGAGGCCTGTCTGGGAGAGCTCACGATGAAACGGGAACGGAGCAGATAACGCTCCACAGCTCGGAATGTCTGAGGTTTCGCAGGTGACTGACTCAGGGTTGACCTCACCTGCATTTGACACTTAGGATGAGGACACCCCTCCTCTGAGCTCTTTTTCGTAGCGATTAAGCCACTGATAATCTGTAAATAAATACAAATGTTTAAAAAGCAGCTGAGTGTCTTAGTCATATGGATGTACATCTCAGGTAGCTCTGACTTAAAATCCTGAACATAGTTTTCCTCCTTAAACGTCAGTCATTGAATATCTGTCCATATTTTATTTTGTGAGCACAATGGCCACAAAAAGTGTTTGGACACTTAAGCAATGTTTAAAATGTTTAAATGCATAAGATAAAAATACAGATACAAATATGTAATACATGGCAAAATATTTAGCTTTAAATAAGTGACATATATGCCACAGTTTAGGATCAGTAAGATACTTTAATGTTTTTGAAAGAAGTCTCCTATGCTCATCAATGCTGCAGTTTAAAATGATCACAAATGGGGGGGAAAAAATGAATAGTGAAAAAGATTTAAATTTAAAATAAATGTTTTCTATTTTAATATATTTTAAAATGTAATTTATTCCTGTGATGGCAAAGCTGGGTTTTCAGCAGCCATTACTCCAGGCTTCAGTGCCACATGATCCTTTAGAAATCATTCTAATATGCTGGTTTGTCGCTCAATAAATATTTCTTATTATTAATCTGTAACGAATCATCCACTGAAGGCGAGCGTAGTGAGAACCCAAGTGCAGTTTATTTACAGAGTGATCCAAACAATAATCCGAGACACAGACTTGACTAGGCATGAACAGACTTAGCATGAGCAGACTAGACTCACCAACAGCGGGTTAAATACATTCAATACACGACGAGGGCACAATGGGAACATGAAGCTACTTATAGGAAACAAGAGGGTCACATGACAAGAACAAACCAATGGGAAACAAGACACATGACCAAGACAACCAATCAGAACATGACACAATGAACAGGGGAACCAATGGCATGAATACATGAAGGCAAGGGAAGCGAGAACCCAAGTGCAGTTTATTTACAGAGGGATCCAAACATCCAAACAATAATCCGAGACACAGACTTGACTTGACTAGGCATGAACAGACTTGACTTGACTTGACTTGAACAGACATAGCATGAGCAGAACAGACATAAACAGACTAGACTCACCAACAGCGGGTTAAATACATTCAATACACGACGAAGGCACAATGGGAACATGAAGCTACTTATAGGAAACAAGAGGGTCACATGACAAGAACAAACCAATGGGAAACAAGACATGACCAAGACAACCAATCAGAACATGACACAATGAACAGGGGAACCAATGGCATGAATACATGAGGACAAGGGAAGCATGACACAAACAGGGACCATGAAACAATTACAAAATAAAAGACATGGAAAACATGAACATGAAACAAAACACCACATTACATAATGTTGAAAACACTTATTTGCCATAATTTTTCAGGATTCTTTGATGAATAGAACATTCCAAAGAACAGCATTTATTTAAAATGGAAATCTTTTGTAACTTTGTAAATGTCTTTGCTTTTTAATTTAATGCATCCTTGTTGAAAAAAAAAACCTCGCTGCACCCAAGCTTTTGAAGAGTAGTGTACATATACATTTTGATTTGTTTATTTGTACGTTTTTCAAAGTTAAGGTATTGCTAAGAAAATTTTCATTGTCATTAATTGTACATTTTTCTCTTCGACAGAGCTTACCACTTGCTTGGGAAGAGAATTGTTGCGGTGAAGGTAAGAACAATGCATATGTCTGTATGCTTTAGAACCTCAAGCTCTGGAACTTAAAGCAACCACTCAAACATTGCATTAAATTAAAGGAATCCACTGATTTTCCTTAGTGCACTTAATAAAATTTTTACATATTTTGTAGATTATTTATTCGCAGAATTACCTGGCTCACATAGAAAAAACATACCAAAGACCCAACATATGATATGATAGCTCACATTCAACTAATGGGTAAGAAAATCATACAACCAGTATGCTCTTTAAACAGATAAAGAACCTGCAGAGCAGAAGAGGTGAACTCAGGTGGCTTTGCTACAGGTGGACTTTACTGCAGCAAGATGCAATGAATAACCGCTGGAGATGTTAATAGTGCTCTACTAATTGAAGAGCACAAAAGAGCAAATCCAGCACTCCTACATTGCCACAGTTAAGCATGATTGAGACCCTGTGGCCCTCATACTCCAGAGCGTCTCTTTCTTTTTCCTTAGCTGTTCTCTGTTCCATAATTTCTTCCACTCTTTTCTCACATTTTTTCTCTCTCTCCCCCTTCCCATCGTCCTCATTGACATCTGTTTAGTTTACTTTTATCCTCTCACTTCTCTTCTGTCTTATCTCCTGTCTGTCCTCCTCTCCTCCCGTATCTTCTGCTGTGTCTGCTCATCTTTCCGTCTGTGCTCTGCCTGGGTCTGCTCGAGCAGGGCTATCTATTTGGCTAAGGCTGTAAGTGATCTCTGCTGAGCTTTAACTGCGTGGCCTTGCCTTACTGCCTTACCTGTAATCAATTATTTCAGTGGGAGGCTGATAATCTAACCTTAACTAAAGAAGCATTTTAGCTAGTCGCTGCTTCAGTACAAAAGTGGAGAAGAGAGAGAACAAAAACCTAGGTTGCAAGAAAAACATAACTGTTTTTATTTCAGAACTTTGTAATATTAGATGAAAATACAGCCTTGGAATATCTTTGTGGGAGTTTAATTGCCTGCTTTTGTTTTGTTTTTTTTAAGTGGTAGGCTGTTTAATTTCCTGTCAGTACTGGTTGAAGAGAAGCTCTTTGAGCATGTTTCTCAAGCATTCACTTTCAACCTCAAAAGCCAGCTGAAACAGAAGTATTGACGCACAAACAGCAAAGTATACTCGAATGACTGCTTATGTTTGCAAGTTGTATTTACCTGATGTAAAATTGTTGGGAAAAAGCAGGGGGAAGTGTCTAGCATTGCATATGTGATTTCGATATAACTAATTTTGCTTAAGAGTTCTGTTTGGGTGAAAATGGATTTCATTTGAGATTTCAAGTGCTCGTTTGATAGATAGCTCAGAAAGGTCAGTGTGAGTGTGTTTGTTCAAATGCTGGTCTTATACTTGTATTGCAGGTTATTCCTCTCGACATCACAGTGGAGCTGCAGAAGCAGATCATGTCAGAGCTTGAGATCCTTTATAAGGTCTGAACCTCTTTTTCTGTCTCTGCTTGATTGCTTAAATGCATAGATACATGCATTTCAGTCCTCTTTCCAGTGAATAAAAACAGTGGCCTAATTCCGATCAGCAACTGACAATGCTGTAGTCATATCAGTTTCTTACCTCCCTCTAAACTAAACTTAGAGCATTTTGCCCTCTCTTTGGCACTCAAGTGTCACTTTGTTAGTCTTAAGAGAGTCTGTGAAAAGTAACACCTGAATACGTTTTGTTCTTGGTAAAGTTTGGAGCCACGTTCCAGGTAAAAAACAAACTTGTTTAGAGCTGTGTGTGGTTTCAGCTTTCAGATTAGGTGTATATGAGGTGCATGACTGTGATAAGTATAAAAGAAGTGTCATGAATTATTCAGGAATCAATGCCTATGTAGTTCAGTCCACCTGTTCCTGTAACCTGCTCTGACAACAGCTGCAGGATAGACTTTAATTGATTACAAATCACCCTTTGCAGCAATGAGCCAATCACACAGAATAATCAGCCAATTTCACATTCTGAATAAAATACTGTGGCATTAGCATTACATGGCTTACTATAAATAACTACCAGCCAAACACTTAATGAAACAATTAACCACATCTTTTCACTGGAAACAATCAATCATGTATTTTCCTAATAATGAAGTATCATTGAGAACCATCCGGTGAATCATGCAAAATTTCTTAATAATCTCAATTATTCAAGTTTAGGCAATAAACTGTTAGCCAAAATGTATAAATAAATAACCTTTTCATAAAGCCGTGTTCATATCACTGCAATGCCATTAACTAGCTATTTTGATAAATGAACATACTCTGCTGTTCAAAAGTTTGGGGTCAGTAAGATTAAAAATAAATTAATACCTTTATTCAGCTGGGACACATTAAATTGATCAAAAGTGACAGTAAAATAAATTATAATATTATAAAAGTATAAATGCTGTTTTTGAACTTTCTACTCCTCAAAGAATCCTAAAAAATGTATTACAGATTCCTCATAAATATTAAGCAGCACAATCTTGGTGAGCATCTTTCATAAGCATAAAAAAAAAAATTTACACAGCCCAAACTTTTCAGTGGTTATATGTACATTTATGATAAAGTGCAAAATGTGTTATGGCATATAACATTTTTCCAGTTTTTATATATTTGATTGATTGTGTTTTTTTACAGTGTGATTCTCCATACATCATAAAGTTCTACAGTGCTTTCTTTGTGGAGAACAGAATATCGATATGCACTGAGTTTATGGATGGTAAGTCTCAATTGTTTTGACATTTGTCAGGCATCTAGGCAACATTTGCACAGGAAAGCATCACTCACAATATGTCAAAGTTAATTGAATTATTTGTTTTGAATGTAGGTGGCTCTCTGGATGTCTACTGGAGAATCCCAGAGCATGTGTTGGGCAGAATTGCTGTTGCGGTAAGTCCTCTTCAAGTCATGAAACTGTTATTGAATAAGTGTATCAGAGAATTTTGAAAGCTTGGATTTTAGAGATTTCGGCATGTCCAAGAATCTGCTACAGCTCTGACCAGTGTGTGTATGTGTGTTTTGTCTTTGTAACATTTTATTAGTGCTCAATTGTCATTGCTCCCAGTTCTGACCCTCATTACCCTCTCCCTCACACTTTCTCACAATAATCAAAGATATGCCACTGTTTAGACAATTTACAGCTCTATCCTCTACAGACTTAGCTCTCATCTCATGAGAATCTCGTCTGAGTTTGTTTTCAATGAGTATTGCTGTTTGTGTGTATCTATAGGTGGTAAAAGGATTAACGTATCTCTGGAGCCTGAAGATTTTACACAGAGGTGAGAAAGCCACTTTTATGTAACTTGTAAAATGTGTAAAAAAAAAAAATATCCAGATGTTGAATATCGGTGTAAGAACTTGACTGTTTAGGCACATGTATCTAGAAGTAAAATTAAGTGCACTAATATTAAACAATTTGGTTTCAGTAAGGTTGTCTACCAGATTACACCGCAAAAGTACATTCATTTAGTGACAGTAATATTAAATACTGACAAATATTATTGTAATATTATAGTTGTTTCTCTGTGCAGATGTGAAACCCTCCAACATGTTGGTTAACACACGGGGTCAGATCAAACTGTGTGACTTTGGAGTCAGCACACAGGTATGTTTTCATTTGTTTCCTGTGACTATTTTTGTGCATGTTTATTTGTCTGCATGAATGCATATACTCACACAAGTGCTTCTCATGTGTATGTATGTTGTGAGCACAGTCAGCTCAGATCAGCCATTGTTCCATCAGTCTCTGTGTCTCTGTTGTGTTCTCTATCTTATTCCTCCAGGGACTTTTTGCCTTTGCTCCCTAACCCCCAGATACGCCCTAGATTGCTCCTCTTCTCTCACTTCCAGCTCTTTGTAATTACCACATTGACCAGATATTCAGTGTGTGTGAGTGACGGCGTGTGTGCGTGCGTGTGGCTGGAGACAATATCTCAGACTGAGTAAGTCAGCATCAGTCTCTCCGCCTCTAATACACTCAGGAGTCCAACAATGGAACCCAATCACTCCAAACGGCCCTCTTTTAATTAATATTCATACCCATGTTCCCCGAAGAGATTCAAGTTGAAGCTGACCCCTGGATGAGGTGCGTGTGTGTGTTCTCCTCTGTGCCCGTCCAGACCATGACACTGTATAGTAAACCTATGTCTCTCTTATTCACGTACACACACACACACACACACACACACGCACGTCAGGCCACGGGGGAACGCTCTCATTACGTTTGTTCTGTCATTGCTGACATGTGCCATTGTGCCCGGATCTCACTGTCTCTCCCCTGTGAGAGTACAGACTAAAATTAAACCAGGCCGGCATTTCAATAACACTCCACAATAACACACTCTTTTCAGTAGATTTAAATCAGTTCCTCTTACTGTGTCTTACAGTTCCTCTTACAGAGAGCTCAGGTCACCTGCTGTCACATCTGTACTGAATTTCGATGTTTAAACAGAGATAACTGTGCTGTTTATATCAGAGGACTGAATGTGATGACTTCTCTATATTATTCTTGGCTGTGCACATACAGAGGGGGTCATGTTTCACCTTTGAGGTTGTGTGTGATGCAAGGTTATTATAGTTTTGCATTTTTAAATTAGTTTTATTTTAATATCGTTTTCAAATTTGCAATAACATTTAGTTTCGTTTTTATTAGTTTCATTAATAATTTTGTTAGTTTTAGTTTAGTTTTTATTTTGTGAACACATTTCTATTTAGTTTTTATACTGTATAGTTTAGTTTCAGTTTTAGTAGGCTAATTAAAGTTGAGCAGAATTAACAGATCACTTCCAGAGAACAGGCCAAAAAAGGCTTATGCTGATTTAAACTTAGTGATGCAAATGTCTAGACACAAAATTAAAGCATGCTGAGAATGATTAGATGGTAAAAGTATACAAATACATGTCAAAATGAAGCAGTCATGCCTTTTTAAATCTACACAAGTTGCGCTTACATTATATTTAAAACGCACTACTGAATGATACATGCGTGTTGTGATTTTTTATTATGTCTTTCATCTTATTTAACCTTAATCATGATACCATAACTGTTGTGTCTTACTCACTTTCCCGTGAACAAACGTGCATAAATCATAAGTGGAACTTATGAAATTCAATAATAATGCTTTAACATTCGATTTGCAGCGTTGCGCATTCGCGCTGCAGCTGAAGTGAATGACAGCTTAGGGAGCGCTCGTTGCTGCTTTCTGTAGACTATATATCATTTTATTTTTAAGTTTTATTTTTAATGCTTCTGTAAAGGACTAACGGCCACACACTGCAGATTTTAAGGAGTGACGATGGCATTTAACATTAAAGTGTCTGTCAATTTTTTTTAGAATTTTGAATATTCATTGAATTAAAAAATAAAAATCCACATTCGATTGCAAAAACGTTGCATTCGAATTTAAGGTCTGTGTCAGCTGTCAGGCAGCCTTATCAGTCGCGCACGAGATGCGATGACGATGTATGTGTCATTGATTGCAATTGAATGCTTTTGTTAGCCTATCCAGTTGAACCCACTAGATGCGGCGCTGCTACGTTGTTCATTCAATATACTGCTGAAAACGAGAGCATCAGTGTGGAGAAGATGTTGATTACGTCAAAACTGAAACCAAGCCGTTCACACAGAACGCATATTTATCACATTTTCTGGAGGGACATCTATCAGCGTTGCACTCACGTCTAACAGAGAGCGGCATGTTTAGAAAGCCATGTAAAATTAATGCAAGTTCAACTTTTAAAGTTTAAAGTTTAATGGTTTTTCCCCATCCCACTGTATCTCATGTTTTTAAATGAAGAAAGTAGCCTACTCTTTGTGAATGGTTTTCAGTCCTTTGTATTAAAGGGGTCATATGATTCTGCTAAAAGAATATTATTTTGTGTATTTGGTATAATGAAATGTGTTTATGCAGTTTAAAGTAAAAAAAACATAATTTTCCACATACTGTACATTATTGTTTCTCCTCTATGCCCCGCCTTTTTGAAACGCGTCGATTTTTACAAAGCTCATCGGTCTGAAAAAGCGAGGTGTGCTGTGATTGGCCAGCTATCCAATGCGTTGTGATTGGCCGTATACCTCAAGCGTGAGACGGAAATGTTACGCCCCTCATATACTGTTGATGTTGTGTCCAGCCGGAGCGACGAGACAAAAACATTAAAACCCATTACAAACAAGGCATTTGTTGCATCCAGTGGGGACATAATTACTGATTATAATGACTTATACTGTCTTTTTACGCATTACGCATTGACAAACAACAAGTGCTACTCTACTGCCCAAAACTCACGTTTGAATCATCAGTGGCAAATGATAAAATAAAACATACTTACGTGAGTCAGAACTGCCGGCATTTTAGTCTAACGTTACTCTCCCAGGATCAGTAAACAGTCCTCCATAAAATGCGCTGCACACATCTGGATATTTGGGCTTAGCGTGCGCTGAGGCCGGGCTAGAGTGAGCTGAGGCGGCGGGGTCGAGAAGCGGAGTCCAGCTCGGGTTCGTCACATGTGGTTGCTGCAAGCCTGCCCGCCGCTCCTTCGTCGAATCTGCCGGCCGCGCCGTTCTCAAGCCCGCCGGCCATTCCTCACTCAAGCCTGCTGGCCTCTGCTCACTCCAGCCTGGCCTTCCAAAAGAGGACCCGAATAGAATCTGTTAGAATCTTTAGAATAGAAACACTGTTCCAGAACAGTTCAACCCAAATATTCAGATGTGTGCAGCACATTTTATGGAGGACTGTTTCCTGATCCTGGTAGAGTAGACTACAATGCCAGCTGTTCTGACTCACAGACTGTAAGTAAGTTTTTTTTATTTTAAAGAATTTGCTACTGACGATTCAAATGCGAGCTTTGAGTAGCGCTTGTTGTTTGTCATTTCTCCGATCACAAATGCAGACATGGGTTTTATGTTATGCTCCGGTCTGACAGGGCATCATCACAATATGGTAAGGGGCGTAACATTTCTGTCACACGCTTGAGGTATTCGGCCAATCACAACGCACTGGATAGCTGGCCAATCAGAGCACACCTCGCTTTTCAGACTGATTAGCTTTGTAAAAATCGACGTGTTTCAGAAAGGCGGGGCATAGAGGAGGAACAATAATGTACAGTATGTGGAAAATAATGTGTTTTTTTAACCTTAAACCGCATAAACACATTTCATTACACCAAATACACCAAATAATGTTCTTTTTAGCAACGTCACATGACCCCTTTAAAATAATCACATTTAGTTGCTTTGCAGCTTGAAATGCAGACACACCGTTTTAGTTTTATCCAACTCAGTGCAACTTATAACATCCAAGTGAAAGATATAACCCCCAACATGTCAGAAAAAAAAAACAGAATCACTGAGTCCTAAAAATAAATTGTAAACTCAATCAGGTGTAGCTAATCACCTTCTCAATGGCACACAAAGCCATTTGACTTTCAACTGTGATCAGCTGTGGTCATTTTGATTAGCTCAGCATGAAAAGAGCTTTCCTGGAGCATTTCAGTCCTTAGTAGTGCAACTGAAGCAAACAATCAACTATGGGTGGCAAGGCACTGTCAAAAGATCTTCGGGATAAAGTTGTGGACAGGCACAAGTCAGGAGATGGATACAATTGTCATAATGTATCATTTACTTATTATTAGAACTATATATTGGTATTATATATAATATATATTGGTACCGAAATTTGAAATTGTTTATTGTTACACTTTAGTTTGGGAATCAATTCTCCCTATTAACTAACTATTAACCATTACTTTTTTTCTCAATAAACTGCGAATTTGCTGCTTATTCAGAATCAGAATCAGAATCAGCTTTATTCGCCAAGTGTGCGCAAACACACAAGGAATTTGTTGTGGTTTTTGAGAAGCTCTTGGTACATACACGCATGCATACACATACATACATATATGCTTACATATCTGACATGAGAACAGAAACATTTAAATAAGACTTAACAATAAATAATAATGTGTATGAATCTGGAACAGAAGATTTATGTACAGATTTGTGCATTATTTACTCTCTCTCTCTCTATATATATATATATATATATATATATACAGCTGTATAAAAAATATTTATATGTATTTACATAGTACTTGAGAGAGAGGCAATAATTAGAGATGGAGAATGAATTACAGGCATGAATTACAGAACACTTAATAGTTAGTAAGGTAGTTGTTAAGTTTAGGTATGTAGGAATAAGGGATCTAAAATTTGGTCATGCAGAATAAGGCATTAATATGTGCTTTATAAGTACTAATAAACAGCCAATGTGCTAGTAATCTGCCTGCTAATAAGCATCTGGTTAATAGTGAGAATTGGTTCCCAAACTAAAGTGTTACCTTGTTTATTTATTGGTACTGAAATGTTGGTATCATGACAACACCAGCACTAAATAATCTGCTTTACAATACAGTAGAATGATTCTAGGCACACAGCTGAGATGATATTTATTCTTTTTGAGATTCTTATTGATCTCCTAAAAATATCTTTCTATGAAGTAACACTTTCTATGAAGCCCATATTTATAACACATTATAAGGGTATTCTTAAGGCATTATAATGAATGCATAATGCGTTATAAAAAATTTATATGTTGTTTAATCTCATAAATCATAATAATTATAATACATTATTATAAAACTTACTTATTTGTGATTATAACGTTTGAGTATGATTGTTTATAACACGCAATGAACACCATTTTAAATCCACTTTATTTATAATGGATTATAAATTTCATATCTTGACATTATTTATTTAAGATCTGCACAGTATCTTACTATCTTACTGATAATACATTAAATATGGTTAAAAGCAAATGTGCTATATAACACATTCATCTGATCAAATATCTGATTTTATAGCTGTTTAAGAAAAAATATTGTTTTATTATTATTATTATTATTAATATTATTGTTGTTGTTGTTATTTATAAGTGGTATTTGTCTGCTTTAAGTAAAGTAACAAGTCAACAATGGCAAGATATAATACATTATAACTATGGGAAATATAATTGTGTTCATTGTGTGTTTTAAATCATCATATTCTTAAAAGCTATAACTACAAATAAGTAAATATTATAATGCATTAAAGCTCTTGTTATGATTAATCATGAGATGATACAACATATTATAAGTTTTTTTTATAAGACATTATGCATTCATTATAATGCCTTAAAGGGTTATTTCACCCAAAAATGAAATTTCTGTCATTAATTACTCACCCTCATGTCGTTTCAAACCCGTAAGACCTTCGTTCATCTTCGGAACACAAATTAAGTTATTTTTGATGGAATCTGAGAGCTGTCTGACCCTGCATAGACAGCAACGTAACTGAAATGTTCCCAAGTCCAGAAACGTAGTAAAGAGATCTGTAAAATAATCCATGTGACATCAGTGGTTCATCCGTAATTATACGAAGCTACGAGAATACTTTTTGTGCGCAAAAGAAAAAAAAAAGGCTTTATTCAACAATTTGTCTCCTCCGCGTCACCCTGTAGGGCCATTTTGGAGAATATCCGCTAATTATATTCTCCAAAATGGCGCTACAGGGTGATGCGGAGGAGACAAATTGTTGAATTGTAGAACAAAAAGTGTTCTGGAAGCTTTGTATAATTACGGTTGAACCCTTGATGTCACATGGATTATTTTACAGAACTCGTTACTACATTTCTGGACTTGGGAACATTTCAGTTGCGTTGCTGTCTATGCAGATGAACGAAGGTCTTACGGGTTTGAAACAAGATGAGGGTGAGTAATTAATGACATAATTTTCATTTTTGGGTGAACTAACCCTTTAAGAACACCCTAATAAATAATGTATTATAAATACGGGCTTCATAGAAAGTGTTACCAATATTTCTCCTGCTTTCTTCCACAGTTGGTGAACTCCATTGCTAAAACATACGTTGGAACCAATGCATACATGGCGGTAAGCTGCATTCATACCTGTAATAGTCTTTCTGTTCAGATGCTTTGTTATTATTTTACCTGAATAGAGAATGAATAGGTCATACATACAGGTGCATCTCAATAAATTTGAATGTCATGGAAAAGTTCATTTATTTCAGTAATTCAACTCAAATTGTGAAACTCGTGTATTAAATAAATTCAATGCACACAGACTGAAGTAGTTTAAGTCTTTGGTTCTTTTAATTGTGATGATTTTGGCTCACATTTAACAAAAAACCCACCAATTCACATGATTTGGGGTGCAATGTCATCTGCTGGTCTTGGTCCATTGTGGTTTGTTTCCCCTCACTTTATTTACAAATTTTCAAGTATTACAAATTTTTTCAATATTTCAACAATACAGTTTAGATAACATTTTAACACTAGGTATAAAGAAAAGGGATCCGAATAAGAAATGGGAAACTAAGAAACTATCAAAATGACAGATACAATCAATTATCCCCAAGTAGTAAAGTGCAATTAATTATCCCTAAAAAAAATACACAAATTACCCTCAGCAACCCCCCACCCCACCCAAAAATAAAAAAATAAAATAAAAATAAAAACACATTCTGCACTTGTGCCAGCTAGTAAGAGAAAATTAAACACTACCTAATACAAGTGTGGTCACCCACTAGGGGGAAATTGAATAAAATCATTATTTTCAGTTGAGCAGGGGGCTATACGTTTCCATATACTCAAGAAAAGAGCCCCACATTTTATAAAAGTTCTTTGAAGAGCCCTTCAGTGAATGTCTAATCAATTTCAGTTTGATAAAATGAAAAATCTCTTTAATCCACATTGAGTGGGTAGGCGACGTAGATGATTTCCAATGCATTAGAATCAAACGTCTAGCCAGAAGTGTTACAAAGGCCACAAAATCTGCCTTGTAACCTATGTGATGAACTGGTAAGGGAAGTGTACCGAAGAGTGCTGTTATCGCTACAGGTTTGATTATTATCCCAACTACCTGAGATACTGTCTCAAATATTTGAACCCAATATCCATGTAAACTTGGGAAGAACCAGAACATATGTGCCAAGGTTGCGGGACTCTGACGACAACGGTCACAGATAGGATCAACATCTTAGTAAATTTTAGATAGTCTGACCTTAGTCCAATGAGTGCGGTGGAGTATTTTGCATTGGATCCATCCATGATTGGCACATAAAGATGAGGAATGTACCCTGTATAAGATACTTTCCCATAATTCCTCTGGAATATCTTCTGATAAAAACCAAAGACTTAAACTACTTCAGTCTGTGTGCATTGAATTTATTTAATACACGAGTTTCACAATTTGAGTTGAATTACTGAAATAAATGAACTTTTCCACGACATTCTAATTTATTGAGATGCACCTGTATTTGGTTGTAAAGGTTGTCAGTCGAGTATGTGCCTGTAATCCACACAAAACAATCAAATTGCTTTTTTGTGGAAAAATTAAATGCTTTCTGAAGTTCGATTTACACTCATGCGCACACAAATTTAGACAACAGAACTTGTTAAATAGGTCACACAGGAATCACTGCAAAAAAAGTATGAATGTGTGTGTGGCCTTCAGTGCCACAGTCTTACTCTAAGCACAATTCATATGCAGAATTGTACACTGCATTATAATGATTCTTCATGTGTTTTTGTGTCTTTGCCTCTGTAGCCAGAGCGGATATCAGGGGAACAGTATGGTATTCACTCAGATGTGTGGAGCCTAGGAATCTCTTTCATGGAGGTAAAACAGCCAAATAATAATTTCTTATAAACACCCACGTATACACATAGCCCAGCATTTGTACTTCGGGCGGACTGGTGTCAGTGTTTCTGCTGAGTGCTGTTGATGGTGTCTGCAGGCAGCCTGTCCAAACAGATGTTGGCCTGCAGCTATGCATGGATCACACTCAAGATCTCCCACTGACTGCTACACACACACACACACACACAAACACACACACTGCTCTGCTATCCTTTTGGACCCTCTCCCTTCGAATTACCATATGAGCATAATGTAAGGAATGAGATTTTGTGTGCGTGTGTCTGATTTCTATATAAAAATTGGGATTAATGAATGGGGAATAATATTAAGGACAAATGTGTGTGTAGTGAAACATTAAATAAAATTAGTGAGTGTGTGTGTGTGTGAGAGAGAGAGAGTGAAAGTTTTGGAGTTAGTGTAGCAAAACACTATCAATCACTCAGCCAGCAGAACGTCCAGTAATTAGAGTGCTGTGTTCTCTGTTCCAGAGGTGTGTGTGTGTGTTTCTGAAAAAGAGAAGAGAGCTGTATGAGTATAGTGATTTTTTTTTTGTAATGGATATTTTTCTAAGCAGAAACCAGCAGCAAGAACTGTACGTACGAGTGGATTAGATTTTAATATGGTGGTTTGATTCGTGTACTGAAAATGCCGAGCTGGTAGTTCTCATTGGCTTTATTGATTCCCATTTTGTAATTGTCAGCGCTTCTCATTGGCTGTGATGAATTGTTATTGTATTCCTCGAGTCAATCCCTTGATTGTATTTATCAATACTGTTGGATATTATCAGTGAGATGTTTAGGGAGGGAAATATCAAGGGTCATATGGATTGACATTATAATGAGTTGATGAACAGTATATTGATCTGATTATGATTTAGTATTGACCTTACCATGTTGTTAGGGGTGTGATTGTTACGGCTCGGCTGCTGGAATGTTTAAGCAGTTCGGATGAATTACCTTAATGTTCTGTTGGCAGATTTCTTAACTAATGAACTGAACTCACCTCCTGAACTGGGATGGTTATGTTAGATTTAATAAATGTGGCTTGATTTGGATTAATTTTCTAAATGTAACTGGAATGTAATTAAAATAAGGTTTGAAAATTGTCTTATTTTTAGTTTGACTTTTGCTTAGAGCCCGACCGATATGTTTTTTTTTGGGCCGATACCGATATTAGGGAGTAAAAAAGGGGCCGATACCGATATATCGGTCGATATTTTTTTGTGCATATTATAGTACAGTACCAGTCAAAAGTTTGGACTCTTTCCCATTCGTGTGTCCAAAAATTTGACTGGAACTATATATAGAATACAGAATATATATACATAAACACATTTTTTGCAATGATCTCTCAAATGTGGTGATCAAACACTTATAATTGTGACAGAGATATGTAAGGGCATTTAACAATTTAACAATAAACTTTATTATCCAAAATGAGTCTGACATCAGTGCACTAAACAGTAACGTTGAAGTTTATTCAACTTTAATTCAATTCAATTCCATTCAACTTTATTCCGTTGAAGTTTATTTCACTTCGGAACATTCATTCACGGATTTGCGCTACTATCTTCACACACAGACAAAACTTACTAGAGAAGTGTGAAGTGTGATATAATATAGGGGAGTGCAAGCACAAAGTAACGGGGGTTTAGTTGTAACACATGTGGTTTGCATATTTATTTTACCATAGTAAAATTAAAATTCTGGTTTAAGTAAATTTTTTATCTCAGTTTTTATTATTCATTTAAAATTAGACAAATCTGCTATTATTTTAATCTCCAATCTGTTATTTATCAGTTCAGATAGTTTTTTTTAATGCTTTGATTACTAGCAGTAAAAACTACTATTATTCAATGACATTAGCAATGTAATTTACACTATTTATTTTAATTAATTTTAATGAGAAACAACGAGAAACAGGTGAATAAAGACTGGCAGTCAATGTTTAATGTTTAGAAATTATTATTTCAAGACATGTAAAGCATTTTTGCATGTTTATGTGGGCCGTCCCAAGCATGGTTGCAATGTGTTCATTGTCAAACTCCAAAATCAGA